TGTTTGTTATCCAAAAAAAAATAATTAGATGCATCGCTGGCATACATTGTAGATAATCATACAAGACAGTTTTTAAAGATCTAGCTATTTTAACACTACCGTCTTTATACTTTGTGCTCATAACTATGAATATCAAAAGAAATGAATCACACCATACAAAAAACCGTATGATACATGATCACAATACTCGCAGAGGAAATGAACTGAGATTTTACCTTACTCAGGATTAGCCCTCGGGCAAGACTCTGCAAGCTATCAAGGAGTCATATGTTATAACAAAGCAACTAGGTTACTAGGAAATATTGAAAATTACAATACATTCAAAAAAGCTTCAATAGACCTTCTCCTAGAAAATGCCTTTTACAATGTCGAAGAATTTTTAAATTTGAATGTATAAGCTGCTTTTTATTCAATTTGTGTGACTAGTCTGATGAATATTGTACCAGTAATGTATATGTTATATGATATTTTAATGATGAATAAATTATATTCTATTCTATTCTATTCCATTGAAAGTACGCATTGCCGAGCACAAGAAACACACACAACGAGGAGAAACCATGAAATCGGGAACAGCTGATATCATCCACAGGGAGGAACACTGGTTTAGGAGAAACTTTAAAGAAGCCGCATATATCTTGTCCAACAAAGCATTCAGCCAAGCTAGCGTAGACATACGCAATATATGGAAACCCATAATCAAGCGGAAAACGACCAACTCCCGCCAAACGGTCAGCTCACGCTAAAACGGTGAAGCGGAGAGAGGAATAGGGGATAGGTGAAAACATTCTAATGACCTATAAACAGTCATCTCTCGGAGGAATAAGTCCAGTCATCACCCGAAGACGATTGTAGATTCCAACAATCGAAACGTCGTGAAGTAACTTGTGCTTGAAATCTTTTCATTTTTTTCTATTGTTCAATTTTCAAATGTTGCTTGTATTTTATTTAAATGTAATTTATTTGATAGTATGCAATGGTATGCAATCTATCTATTTTTATCAGTGGAAACCACATTACAGCAAATTCATCCCAACCAAATTGAATAATCGAAGTCAGATGTTCTCTAGGAATTGGTACTCAGTTCCATCCCGTTTTTATGACTACATATTATAAAACGAAGTCACTATTCTACGTGTCTGCCTGAACGTGATGAACTGAAAAAGTACTGAACGAATTTTCTTAGTGTTATCAGTTATCACCAATGGACGGAGTGATTCAAGGGGAAATTTTACGTGTATAATTTGTGTTTTGTGTAAGTTGGTTGAAATATGATGATGTTATCTGTGAGAAATCGGGACGGTGGTGTTACCCGTGCTATGCCGGGGAGTTTTCATAAAAAAACATTACCTAATTCATTTAAGATATAAGTAACAAAACTATTCACTACATATTATTCTTCTTTTATAGGACTATAAAATGAGTCCACGATGGCATATGTCTATCTTTTGAGGATAGCTTGCTATACCCAATTTAATGTTTTAAATAATGATCGCAAATAATGTGATAACTCGAAACAATCGCACGACAAAATAAATTCAAAAAGCGCCACATAACAATGCGACAAGTTTAAAAAAGAAAGATTGCAATTACTTTGGTTTTATTTTATGTTATTTATCATTTGAGAGATATGTACTTATTCTTTTTAAATTATCATTTTTTGAATGAATATTATTATTGAAGGTCATTATTTTGGGTTACAAGCTGTTGCAATACTGACAGAAAAAAAAGGCATAAATGTTCTGCTCTCCTTGCATAACCGAGGCAGGTCGCTGGTTGCATATAAACAACATGATCTGACTGGATACCTGGCAATTTGACTGTCGTCGCTGATGATACGACCCTCTTTAAACAAGATAAAGATCACAAACGACTTTGCAGAAAAATTATTACTGATCTAATAAAAGCCGAGAACTGATAAATTTCTTGATACTTCTTTAAAATCTATATCTCAATGGCAGCAAATCTGAATGTCTCCCAGCTTATTGAATTCGTAATGAAATTTAGGAAACTTCTCAATTATTCAATAAACGATAAATAGCAAATATTCATCATATCAAAATAGTTGAGTTTTGAATATCTTTGAATTATTACAAACTCAGTTGATAATGACAAATCAAAATTGCTTGTTTGAATGTGGTTAAAACATTATAATTTTCGCAATTCTGAGACAAAATTGATTCCCAAGTTCCATGTAGCTTGGCAAAAATTGACAGTTTCTTAGGATATAGATACATAGTATTTCTTTTCAGATTTCACATACTGGTTTACATATCCTGTTCTTGAAGAGATAGACATGCCCAAAGCTTGATCCATTAACAGTCACATAATATTTGCAAATATTTTGGAGAATTCACGAAAATCTTCAGGTTTTGAAGTTTTGAAGGGGATTCCATCAATTTTGGTGAACAGCTTCAACCCTTGCTTTTATTCCACATCGTAACTATCGAAAACAAATTTTAAAAAATGTTGAAATAACAAATTTTTAAAAAACTCAACACCAATATAGTTCATACTTCAATGGTCTAAAATTAATTTATCAGTACTCCTCAGAAAAAAGTTCCTTGCCCATCTAAAATAGCCTCAGCGGTTTTTCAAATAGCTACAATGATAATCAAGGCACTATATCACACAACAGCCTGATATATAGCAAAACAGATCATCAACTACAGCTTGTCAAATGTAGGAAGAATTTCTGATCATGTGCACTAACTAGATGTGAGAGACATCAACATTATACTTCTTGATAAGTGCTAGATTTGACAAGCTGTACTTATTAAATACCTTTATATAATTGCAAGCAACTTTAGTGAAATACATGTTTCTTCATAAACTAATATGAATCAGAAGCATAGGAAGTAGAGCTTCAATGAAATTTCAAACCCATTTGAGAAAGTAAAAAAGCTTTCTGGAGAATTTGAAAATTACAATAAAACTCACAAAACTGCTAGAAAGCAAGCCACCCAACAGTTACATTGGACTTAACATTTGTATCTATTGAGGGAAGAAAAGGACACAAAAAAAGACAATTCTATTGAATCAATGAATCGGAATCAGAGACCCAAACTATGATACAATATTTGGACAAACAGTGAGATTAAACATAATAACATGTTTCATTGAAAAACTAACGAGGAAATTATAAACGATCAAATCGTATTCCCAACAACCTGCACTGTAGAACATCAGAATACGTAGACTGTTAAAAAAATATGCTTAAGTTTAAATTACGCTGGAAACGTACATGCGATTTTTTTATGTTGGTACACTCATCTCGAACATATGTTCACAGTTTCAGCTGTTTAGCATCATTAGTTTGTTGGTGAGAGACATAAAAGTTACAAGTGTTTTGCGTGTACGATTACTTTCTGCTATCAAAAAAAAATGGATTAAAGAATTTGCACCAAATATTGTGTGAAAAGAGAAATTGAGTGCTCAAAAACACTAGAAATGTTTATGGGGATATACGGTAATTGTACTCTGAGTCATTACAGTTGGTACAAGCTTTTTACAGAATGTTGAGATGTGATTGACGACGCTCGCTTGGGCGCCACAGCACATCAACAACCGATGAAAATATTGATAAGGTGAAGAAAATTCTTATGGAGAATCGTCGAATCACTATTAGAGAATTTGCTAAAGATGTCGACATATCCATTGACTCATGCCCTGCAATTTTTTCGAAAATTTTGAGCATGATGGGTGTGGCAGTGAATTCGTTTCACTGAATTTTCACCAAAAACCGTCACTCGAGCATAGCTCAGGAATTGTTGAATGACGTCAACGGCGATCCAGATTTGCTTAAAAGGGTCATAACTGGTGACGTATCATGGGTATACAGTTATGACATCAAAACCAAACTCCAATCGTCCCAATGGAAGAGCCAAGATAAAAAAAAGCACGTCAAGTTCGATCAAATGTCGAGGTTTTGCTCACTGTTTTCTTTGATTATGGTGGTGAAGTTTCTCAGGAGTTCTTGCAACATGGTCTTACGGCCAATAACAAGTATTATCTTCAAATTATGCGCCGCTTGTGAGAAGCAATACGAAGAAAACTTCCCGTATTGTGAAAAAATAATCCATGGCTTTTGCATCACGATAATACACGTGCTCACAAATCAATGCCTGTTCGTAATTTTTGGCCAAAAAAACGTAATCATGCCCCAGCCACCGTATTCACCAGATTTGGCCCCTGCGACTTTTTAAGGGCGGCGTTTTGTTACGATTGAGGATATAAAAACCGATTGGCTGAGAGAACTCAAGGACACACCAAAAAGTGCATATCAGAACCGCTTCGAAGATTTGAAAAAACACTGGCAAAAGTGTATTTTATCTGACGGGGACTACTTTGAAGGGGACAAAATAAAAATAGATGAGTCAATGAAATAAAAAAATGAAAATACACCTTATTTTTTGAATAGACAGCATACTTCATCAGGTGAAAACCTGACTAAGAAGCACTATTTAGGTGGATAACACCTAGGTTTAATAATACGAATGTCAAACTCAAGAATATTATTGCCATAAGAAAGCAGTCATAAACATTGAAAAATTCCTATACACAAATATAAAAGTTAGCTCTTCATAATGAATAGTGAATCCCAAAAAATATAGTTCAATTCACCAGTGTGATAATTTATATCAGAAACTGTGTTCATGCATAGATTTTCCCAAAATCCGAAACTGACAAAGAACAGGAAAATTATACTTAGAAATGACGAATCAATCAGTAAATTCATGTGTGTCAGTAATAACACTTCAATAAAGATGATTTTACTCTAAGTACATAAAATACTATATATATTAGCAATTATCTGACCTTGTATATTCCATATATCAAAAGTAAGGAAAACTAAGTAATATGTGGATATGTATGTAAGTTAATAGAAAATTTCACAAAATTTCAACAATATCTCTGGCTCAATGGATATTGAAGCATAAGTAATTTCTAATTTTATAAGAGTTTTTCAATCTACAAATGAGGAACACTAGTGTACTTACTTTCATCGATCCCTGTTTTGTTTTCGGCATGGTTTTCAATGTCCTTTGAAAACCACTCATTGAATTCCTCATGTGAGTCAAATAACGTAGGCATGATGAAGTGAAGCAAAGCCCACAGTTCCGCCATGCTGTTCTGAATGGGAGTACCACTGAGCAACAGCCTGTTTCTACAGCTGAACCCAAGCAAAGTCTTCCACCGCATTGAGCTTGTACTTTTTATGGCTTGAGCCTCATCTAGAATCATATACTGCCACTTTATCCTATTGAAGTATTTGATGTCTGTAATTACAATTTGGTAGGACGTTACTACAATGTGAAAGCTGGCGTCTTTCGTGTAGATATCTTTTTGATCCCAGAATTGGCGAAGTATTTTCCTCTCGTTTGGATTTCCCCAATAGGGGACTACTTTGAAGTCTGGAACAAATTTCGCTATTTCCTGCTGCCAATTATGGAGCGTTGATGCAGGGGAAATGATCAGAAAAGGACCCCAAACAGCTGAAAAAAATATATGGTGATGAAAAAGGGGACCCAGAAAAACAATGAAATGTACAAAAATTATTGCCTGAATGTATTGATAATAAATCCTTTTGACATCCGAACACGCATTGTTTGCAAGGTATTTTCAACTGAAAAATCCAAACTGAACACAATTTTTTCCCTAAAAGTGATTGTGATAATTAGTGATTCAAATGATTGGAGTTCAGATAATTGCAATTTTACTGTAGTTGTTTCAGATGGATTTATTCTTTCACTTTGTATCTGAAAGAAATTTCTGTGCATGATCTAGACATCTTTGTGAAGACTTTTTATTGATGTATCAAGTGAAAAAATCAAAAACACCTCCAGCTGAATTCCTTCATAATGGAGTTAGATTCTGCTAATGAGATTGTCCTATTGAAACTTTAAATGAGGCACTTACATTATCCTCGGAAGCACAGTTACAAACTGAATTATAAAAACAAAACCCAGAAGAAATATGGCAAATTATCCAAATTCGCAAAATAGTGTGAAATTTCTGAGAATTCATATTGACAGTGGATTAAAATGGGATCATCACATAAAGAAAATATCAAAAAAACTCATGAGAAATGTATCTTTAGTAAGAAACGTCTCCAGACAAGTTTCAAAAGCAACTCTTCAAACGGCATGTTTTTCCTTGTATGAATCCATTATTTCTTATGGTATTGTCGCCTGGAGACATGCAACAGACTGTGATAGAATATTCTGACACCAACGGAAAGTAATTAGAATATTAGACAATATCGATTACAGTGATGAATATCGAAATTTATTTGTTACATTAAAAATACTAACCTCTGCTTCTCTTTATATCATGGAAAATGTGCACGACTTCAACACTAAGGATAAAAATGATATGAGTACAAACTACAACCTCTTAAAAAGATGTCAAAATGGATCAAAATAGGATGTCTACCTAATAATATTTTCAAAACAAGGATAACATATTTTTTAATAAAAAACGCCTTTCTTATTAGTCAGTGGGCTATGCTTGAAGACTGGCCGTAAACAAATCTAAAGTAAATGGAACTTCAAACGTTCCNTGTATGTATTGACTTGTGTAAATACTGATGAACATATAAAATACCAATAAATTATCTATCTATCTATCTAAAGAAGAGCAATGATGAAGTAAACACAGATATTCGACAAATCAAAGAAGAATTGCAAACCCAAACCTAGGATTTTAACATTAAAATCCTGGTATTAAATAACGAAAAGTAGAAGTTGAAATGTAAACTGGAAAACGTCAAGAAAAAGTCAAAACGTAAAAACATCATTTTTGGTATTTCAGAAGATTAGGATTCATCAGTACTTTTTACACTCAACAAGTGTCTTTCAGGTCGAACTTTTTTTCTCTGCCTCCGAAAAATATGAACGAGGTGTCATCCGATTCGGAATAGAGTGTGAATGATTTGTGAAGATGAATTTTGAAAAAACCAAGTGACGTTTGCAAAAGTTATTATAAATTAACTGAAAAAAAGGGTTTTGGTTTTTTGGGTTAAAAATACGTCCTAAAACGGGTACTCTGGCTTGCGTAAGACTCTGTACCTTCAACG